TCGTGGAAATTAAAAAATAAAATACAACAAATCGAATTGTACGTAAATGGCGGTCCTCAGTTCCTCTTGACGTTTCGTCCAGTGCTTGTTGCACCTAGAATATAAATAAGTCCTTAATACCATGAAAACGTTTCGTAAAAATGGAAATTATTCATGTATAAATATATCGGAAAATAAAAGATTTACGCTTATTTTCGCCGTTTTTTCAAAAAGTTTCATTACATGGCTATAAAAACCGATATAAAAAGGCGAAATATACAAGGATTTGCGCATTGCTAGTAAGTAAGAAAAATAGTGCCTCGGAAAAAAATTTTGAAGTAAAAAACATAGTTGGCACATCTTATTTCACACCACTAAGTTGAATACGACTTTAAATACTCCGAGAACCTAACGGTTCAACCTGATCGTGTTTTCCGTCGCGCCGATGGTTGTTGCGGCTGTGCATTACCAGGCACGCCGTCAAGAATTTCGATAAATGAGCCATCCGTCGGTCGGATGTAGTGAGCTGAAACGTCACTTATAATGGGGTTGCCTTCGAAATAAGCTGGTTTCAAACAGTCGATACTAACAGTGTCTTCACGTCCAATTCGCTCAATTATATAGAATTTCTCATGTCGCTTGATCACTTTGAATGGCCCGTCGTAAGGTGGTTCAAGTGGTCGACGAACGACGTCGTGGCGAATAAACAAGGGTGATGTCTTTTGTAAACTGGGGTGAACGAAGACATCAGTCGTTTGAGGTCTAACCGGAGAAGGCCTAACTGAACGCATTGCGTTTGTAAGCCTGGTCATGTAAGATTCCCTGTCGGAAAAATGTTTGAAGTTGAAGGGGAAACAAACTCACCTGGTAGGGGAACAGTGGTCTCATAGACGAGTTCTGCAGGGGTACATCCAGCATCAACTTTCAAGGCGTTACGAATACCTAGTGGGACTAGTGGCAGAGCCTCGGTCCACTGAAGTATGTTTGCAGCTGAAAGGGGAGCTATATGAACGTAGTCGGAACGCACGTCTGGGGCTAGGAAAGAGCCCAAAAGGCTTTTCGCGTGTCGCGTGACTTTGCACTTTTGACAAGCTAGGCACAACTGAGCGCACTCTCTAACATCTTTGTTCATCCCAGGCCAGCAGAAAGGTTGTGCGATAAGCCTAATGGTGGCTCGTACACCTGGATGAGAGTTTTCGCAACATATTTAAGACGTTGCTTTGACAACTTTTCAGAACCATTGGGCGCGGTTGACTGGCAGAGACATCGCACAAAATTGTATCCTTGTGTGATCCTACTGGACACAGTCGTAGCTTGAGAGTTGTGGACGACAACTCATGATGCAGCTCAAGGTCTTCCTTTTGACGCCTAGCTAGTTCAACGAGATCAACGCCCTCGATGTGATTTATCGAAGCTATTCGTGATAGTGCATCGGCCACGGAGTTATTAACTCCGGAAATGTGGCGGCTGTCTGACGTGAACTGGGAAATGTAATTCAGCTGTCGTGACTCACGCGGAGAGTATTTGTCAGACGCCGAGCTGAGGGAAAAAGTTTACGGTTTATGGTCTGTGAAAATAATGAAATCATGGCCTTTCACCGAATGTCGAAAGTGGCGTACAGAACAGTACATAGCTAGGAGTTCCCTACCAAATGTACCGTATCTTGTTTCCGCATCTTGCAGCCGCCTCGGGAAAAGGGCTAATGGTTGCTACTGGTTGTCAGTCAACTGTTGCAAAACTGCTCCAACGGTTGAGTCAGATGCATCAGCAGCAATACTCAAAGGAGCATTGGGGTTGTGATGCATGGGCATGGTTGCGCTTGAAATGGCCTCCCTGACTTTAGAGAAAGCAAGTCTGGCAGCGTTGTCCAGAGCCACGAACTTCGTAGTTCCTCGTAGTAGATCTGTTAGTGGTTGCACGACAGAGGCACAGTTGGGGATAAACCTTCGGTAATAACTTACCAGTCCACTGAAAGTGCGGAGATGTTTGACAGCGGTCGGCTCTGGATAGTTCGTGATAGCCGCCGCTTTATCTCTCAATGGGCGTATACCTTTGTTTTCAATGGTATGCCCAAGGAAGCTGAGTGATTCGACACCTATTTCCTACTTCTGTAAGTTGACTGTGATGCCATGTTTTCCCAGTCTACTGAATATGGGGTCCGAATATTTAAGGTGAGTTTCCTTATCTGGACTCTTAACTAGACAGTCATCGATGTAGACGTGAACAAAACTCGAACCAGGGGAAACATCATCCATAAAGCGTTGGAGTGTTTGTGCTGCATTCCGAAGACCAAATGGCATGCGCAGGAATTCAAACACACCAAAATGAGTGATAATGACTGTTTTCGTGATATCTTATGCTGCCATGGGTATCTGATTGTACGCTTTGACCAAATCGATTTCGGAGGAAATGTTCACTCCGCATAAGGTCGCAGTCAGGTCGTAAACATGAGGTATCGGGTAGCAGTCCTGTGTTGTTTTGGCTTTAAGCCTTCGGTAATCACCGGTTGGATGCCAGTCGTTGCTATCCTTTTTTGGAACCATGTGTTCAGTGGTGAAGCCCAAGGAGTACTTGTAGGTTTGATTATGCCCAGTTCGAGCACGTGGTCGAATTCACACTTTGCCGTTTTTAGCTTATCGGGGGCTAGATGCCGAGCTTTGGATGCCACAGGTGGACCTGTGGTTGTGGCGTGATGCATAATATTGCTGGTTGTGAACGGAAGAGTATGCTTTGGTTGTTGTAACTCCGGATGTTTCTCCAGAACTGCTGGTAGGACGCGTCGCTTGATTGTTTGGTTCTAACGGTGGCTAAACTCGCACCTACATAGGTGGTGCCGCCAATAGATAACCCTGTGTTATTATCTACCAGAAGTCAACGGCGAGCATCTACTAGCAAATCGAAATGGTTTAATAAATCTATGCCAGTGATGAGCAAAGGAACGTCAGCTAGCAGGGAAATCCAGTGAATAGGTTCACGTAGACCTAAGTTGAGGTAGGTGTACTGTCTCCCGACTGTCGCGGTTGCTTTTCCGTTAGCTGCTTGGAGATTGAAGAGTGGGTCATGATGGCTACCATTTGTCGGTGGGGGAAGAACGCTAACTTCTGCGCCGGTGTCGATGAGGTAGCGAGCCTCCGTCTTAATATCCGTGACGCAGAGAAAACGGCTGTTTCCTCCGGCTACGGTCGCCGTGAACACGTGCTGGCATGGCCGTTTCCTCAATTTGTGTCCTTGTTAAAACTGCATGGCTTCCGGCATTTTCTGGCTTCGTCTCCGTAAGTATTATGAAACCAGCACCATTTCGGGTTTTCCACCCTTTAAGTTTAGTTTTAGGACAACCACGTGAGTTGTTGCAATGCGCTAAGATGCGTTTCTGTGAAGTGCTACGTAAACTAGGACTTCGAAATCATAGCAACTGTTTAACAGAGTTGCACAGCCTGATCACCTCTGAATTCTGGCCCTCTGGTTTGTCGCAGACAGAATATAATTTGGAGACGGGTCTGCTGGGATCTCCAGTATTTTATCTGCTGAGGCTGCCAGGTCATCGAGTGGGACTGACTGCAGTGTCACTAACACGGTCTGCACCAGTTGTGGTAGTTTCGAGAGAAACAGATCTCGGAAAAGGCGATTGTGGAATGTTCGTGCACCCACAACTTCTCGCATGCGTGCGAGGACTTCAGTAGCTGAGTGGCTGCCTAGCTCGGTGTTACGAAGCAATTCTTTTAGGTGCCGGTGATCTGTGAGATCGGTTTTCTTCAAGAGTGCGGCTTTGAGAGGTGCATAAGGATCACTTACTTCAGGACTAAACATGTGTGTTGTAACATGCCGGTGTAATTTCCGCGGTAGTAAACGTATGACGGCAAGAAATGGAGAATGAGGATCTGTGACTCTCTGTTCTCGAAAATCTGCCTCGGCATACAGAAACTACGTTTCTTTATTGTCTGGCCAATATGGCACGAGTTGCATCGTGTTCGTAGTTGGCTTAATACAATAAGCTTGGGAGTGTGGTCAGACATGAGGAAGTATTGTAAATGGATGTATAAATGTTATCGAAATGAAAACAATTTACAAGTATAAAATGGAACAGGCTCACCAATTCAGTATTTGTTATTGGTCGGGATATGTGGTCACATCGGGATATGTGAATCACTTCGGGCTCACCAATTTAGGATCTGTCCTGGTTCGAACTTGACAGACGCAAAGACCAATCACTGATTATTCGAACTTGTTATATACCCAGGAATACGAGACCAAGGAAGAACACGATAGCGTAGTCGGATGAAATAGTACATTTGGGTGGTTGTGCCAAGATACCGACGTGTTCCAACTAACTAGCTAGAAAGTCGAATACGAGAAGTGCGACGTAACACGACAGCATGCCAAATGGCGAGGATGCTTGACCGGGTGCCTCCAGCTTGGCGAGTCTGGTTAAACTATCAAGGTCGGCATCAATGTCGTCAAACCCTAGGATATTGATTTTGGGGAAGTGTGTGACGCTACAAGATCTCAAAGGTAATAGGAATCAGTGATTAAGAACCCTTGCTTAAGTGGCTGTAAATCGGTCGTGATGGCGAAAATATATTCACTCTCTGATGTCTTCTAAGGCTAGAATGTTTTGATTAACCTTAATTTTGCATTTTCTTTTACTCCATACAGCTCTGTATATCTTGATATTAGTCTTTGCTTTCAACTTGTTCTGTGTGTACACCTGAGAAGTGTGCCAACTTGAAACGACGAAATTGTGTGCCAGGTTCTGCGTTGATTTTGTCTCTCCGTTCGTGTAAAACTTTCAGAACATATTTATAATTCATCGCTAATAAATAGGCATGCTGAAGAAATTAAGAAGCTACATTCACATAACTGCGTTCAGATGACTCATGCAATCAACTTTGACATCATTGATGCAGATAAATATTTACTGAACACGGAAAACAGTATTATATTCATCAAAATAAATAAATGAATAAATTTGATACTTTTTCTAGATTTTCTGCATATTGACAGACGTATAAATATGAGTTAATCTCAGTCCTAAATTTCTATTGAAAATTTTAAAATGTTTACTTTATTCTATGTAGTAGTACTATTCAGCTTGTTATACGAATATGAAACAGGAAAGCGTAAGTTCTTGAGAATTTTAGAAATTAAGTAGGAAATTCTATAGTTTTCCAGTCATTAATATGTCTGAAGAAGTTAATTCAAATCTTCTACTTGACAATAAATACATACAAAGATTAGTCAAGGTACCAGGCAACAAAAAATCGTAGATATAGTTTAAAGAAAAAGCCGAAAAGTCACCTCGTAGATCCTGCGTTTCACAGTGGGCCATTTGCAAATGAATAAATGTATGCTCGCAATACGAATCAAAACACTTGAAAAACTGTAGACTGCATTTATTACATAGTGTGGTTCAGTGTACTTTCTTGTATTCATTACTGACCATTGGATGAAAAGTCACAAAACGAATGGATACTTTGATTGAACAAATGCTTCTCACTGGTCATTTTTAACGATAAGACCGAACGGCATTCGTCTGAATCCCAAATATCTGATGACCTTTTATGAATTTTTGAGTTTACGTGACTAATTGCCCTTAAATAACTAATTTATTCGATGGCAATATTTATGAGGTAGCAATTCCCTTATTTTGACAATCTTTCTGCACTGTGTAATGACATGAATAATAAGAAAAAGTTTTACGATCAAGATGCAATATACTGTTTAGTGCGAGACATGATGTGTACTGAGTTAAGTTGGATTCAGCTATGAACTTTCAACGTTCACCTCTATCGGGTAGTATGAAGAAACTGACTAAATCTATATGAATATATTTTAATATAATCGCAGCGTGCTCAGAACAGTTGTGGTCTGGATGCTTACATCGGATTAAATTTGTCATCGTCTTTTTAACTTGTTGAGTGACTGATGAAATTGTTACATTGTAAATCTTCGACCAACTCCCGTAAACATTTACTTCTTCATATTCCTCTGGTACGTTTTGTATTCTTAGTCAACTAGATGATAACACTATTCAGACCAACTATATTTTATACGGTCTAGTCAATTAGTTTTTTCATGATATTCGACAAGGCTCAAGATTCAGTGACTTGAAAAATATGAGCGTATAAGTGATAAAACTACGCTATCTTTCGAGACATTTTCCAGTGCACTGAATTACGCAAAGGTGACAAACTTTGTTCGCGTGGATAGTTAATGACCAATAGAGTAACTTACATGATAAACCTTAAAAATAGAGTTCAGTTTACAGGATGATGGCTGGTGGTGAAATAAATATCGTATGTTTTATCCTATTTGACACTGGTCATTTGGATGCACTTGCATCACAGTAAGTAATGGTGTTTCGATTGAGACTTGAGTACATCACATTTCACTTTAAATGCCAGATCATTATCCACTAGGCTACTGAGTCGGAAAAATCATGTCATATATAACAGATATCGGCTGTTATTTTTCGATATTGTGATTTACCGTGGACTATTATATACGATCGAGCTAATTGGTCTTTATTGTTATATGAGTTTGTGCGCGGATGCCTATTTCACAGAAACAATCCATAAAATACACGTACATCCAGCTGATGAGTATCAAATAAGGTTAAATGTACATACTACTGCTACATACTACATTCTCATGCTAGCCATCACTGCACAAATTTCATCGTTACCAATCTTGAAGTAATGTTGAAGCACAAGCCCACAAGCTTATAAGCCAAAAAGACCGATTAATTCAGTTCAGTATAATGAGCAACGGAGAACTGCAGGCTTCCGTAAATAAATAAAATAGTTATTTTTCATTATATGAGCAGCAAAGTGAGGGGTTTCTCTGTTTCTTCTCCAACACATTCATTTCGGCAATGGATACAAAGGTGAAATTACTATATTCGTTAAGTTTCTCACTACTTGTTTGTTCGGTTAAGGTGACCAGAAAGTAACTTGACTCCCTTTTTACTCAGTTTCATTATTTAGCCATTATTCTACACACAGAGTGAATTCATGGGTTTGCCATATCATGGCGCAAGCTAGTTATCCTTGAAGTTGTGTATGCTGGGTAAGAAAGTAATATATTTATCGAATGGTCGTCTAACTTATCGTAGGTGATGTGATGAAAAATCAGGTCAACTGGATAGAACAGAATCAATGTATCTAGGTTGATAACTATGTACGAATCATTCAAGAAAAAATTGGATTATTATGTAGTTCATATGCCCTAAGTAGAATATATGAGTCTGCGCACTGGAGATATGGATGAATCATAAGGTGAACCAGAGTCGATGGTTGTAACTTTTTGTTTTTAATCTAACCCGTTTTCACTGTCAACAAACAAAACTGGTGCATGTGGTAAAACTGTACATGAATGTGATTGAACAGTCCATCCACATCGATTTCCAGCTAGGCCTAAATCCACAACTAAACGAAAAAGTAGATTCTAATATAGCTGAGAGTTCATAAACTGGTATGTTTATGTTCTGAGCAAGAATTTCATTTTCTCAATATTGAGAACTTGGAAATTGGTTTCAAACTGTTCGGTTTTAGTAGCAGTTTATTTATTTTCTGAAGTTAATCTCAAGCTGTACTCTGGTATATCAAATACCTAACGACCTGCTCAAAACGTAATTTAAACCCAGCTGAGTTAGCAATGTGTGCAATCCATGTCAGTAAATGTCTCTCTTTCACACTTTCCGAATTCCGCACACTAGAACTCCTACGTAAAGATCAACTGATGGGAAGAGTTAGGTGCCAAAAATATAAAGTGTTTCATCAAATGAGTTGCAGACAATCCTATCAGTTTGTCAAACTCTTAACACTAAAACACGTTTCATTCTGTACAACTTCAACTGCTGTCATTCAGTAAACAGTAAGATATTTCAGTGATAAAACCACTATAACCTTGAGTACCTTTAGGTTCTAGCGTACTAATATTATGAATCTTTTGTTAGAATAGGATTTAGGTGAATGAGTTACTGAAGAAAATTGAATGGTTTGCTATAAGTTTTACCATTCGTTTGCTCTTTTAATCCAGAAGTTTGAAGTTTCTGTGATCCTTCACAAATTCCTTTGTCAACTATTATAGCTGTTACACCAAAGAATATCAGCTTAAATTTTAATAGGGACTATAACTTTTAGAACGGTAGTGGATATGACAAAATGACTGGTTGTTCAGTCGATAGTGAGCCAAGAAGTGAGGAAATAAAACTCACTTAAGTTTATCTGTAACGGTGGAAAAAGGTTGTTTCCTAAGAACAACTATATGCTTATTACAACACTAAGCAATACAATAATGTTTAACACTTAAAAGCTATCATATCATTGGTAAATAGACTTATCAAAGCACTTATATGTGATGAGTTTATGTCGGTTTTTTCAGCAAAGAAAAGCATAGATCGTAAGTCAAAAGTTTTATGAGTTTTATTGCAATACGAAATGCTAATTTTTCTGGTACATTTGTAAATTCTACTAATTTGTGCCACACACTTGATCCTAGTAGATTTTTGATAAACACTCATTTCCTTTTAAATATATCAAGAAAATTATGAAAATTTTAAAGTTGATTTAAGATATTTAGAACTCTTTACATATCTGTGAACAGTTTAATTGTAATGTCTGTGACTAGGTTCGAACTGCACAAACTGACATCAGTAGCAGTAAATAATTTCCAGTGGTCTTGTTTAGTTATCTTTGTGATAAAAGTCTAAAAATACCGCTCTACAACTCAGACGTTCGTAGTGACTCTGTAACGACCGGGTGTTAACGGGTTTTCGTCTGGCCTGTGGGCGGGTAGGTACGTTGTTTCAGGGGACATATAGAATAGTACACAGGATTTACTTACATTTGATAATGAAAGATAACTGACAAATGGTAGGGCTTGACAACGAAGAGGTGAGACAGTCTAGAAATCGAAACTGGAAGGTGAATGGGTAAGATTTCGAATACGTTACAACTCTCTTAGGCATAAAACACCTACTACACTAAAGAATAGTGTTTCTTATAGTAGGTCAGATGTCATATCCCCCTACCTACCAATTTCTGGGAACTGAAACATAATATTGGCTTTTTCTTCCTTCTGTTCTCTTGATTATCGGAATTAAATGAAACTGAACATATTTTTATACGTTCCAAATTCACCTGACAGTCATTTTACAGAAGTATACATCATTGTGTTGCCAATAAGTGTCGAAATTACATAGTGAAAGTTTTATTTTACCACGAAGCAGATCAGCAACCTCGAAAAACTTCATATCATGTTGCATATTTAAATTCGTGTTACGCTGAATTGAGAGACTTTATCAAAAGTGTATTCACCCATTGATTGATCTTCTTCAAGGTTAGGTTGCATACCCAAACAGGTTTGAAGTGTACAGGTGCCAAGTTCTAAGTGCTGAACAAATTCTGTTGATGAGTTCTTGATGTAAGCACTAAGCTATGTCACATGGCGCTACAGATCGCTGTGTTTGGTGCTCGATTTGGACTGTCTTTGCATCCTTACAGTTTTCTCCACCGAAACGCAATGCATATACTTTCTAGATCTTCGCCTTATTGGTACTTTAAATCTATATTTTTATGTGTTTGAGAATTGGTACTTCAAAACAAATACTAGAATACTGATGAAAGCAAATTTTCAAAATCTGTTTAGAATCTGAACAATCATACTGAAAAATTCATATTCAATAAACCTCATCGTTTAAAATTTCTAAATCAACTGAATAGTTTGAAATTAACTTTGGTCATTCACTGACATTCATTGCAGAAGCTTAGGGGTCATCCTGACTTTTATGAGTGAAAACAAACATACTTCAGAGATATAAGAGTATTTGTGAAGAGTCGTGGTTTAATTCAGCACAAGAAGAGTGAAGCATCGACTAGTCCTGTATTATTATGGAAACACTACAGAAAAATGAAAAATAGATACAAACAGCAGCCTAATTATAAAACTTTCCCAAAGTCAATGCAGTAAGCAAATAACCAACTTTTTGTTCTCATAAACAATTTAAAGAATTGAACAAATAATGATAGAGCTTTAGAACCTAAGAAACAAATGTTAATATTCACAAGTTATGCAAAGTAAATTATAGATAAAAACACCTAATAACTGGTTTCCTATTGAGATATTCACCACTGGGCAGTTATGCATTTATATGTAATTTTATTTACTTGGGACTTCAGAAATAAGGAATTTAGAAGGAATATGTCTATATAATAACACGTTCGGTACTCTAGCACGAACTAGCGTGGCCTTATACCGAATGGTAATAATAGACATACTGTTGAACTAATCATGGTCTCAGAAAAAGTCAGTTTAATTGAAGCCCTATAGTTGTGTGTTGTATATACTTAAACTTAATCTTTTCTGGCTATGTGCGAGTAATTAATGGCAACCAACTTTGTGAAGTGATCAGGAACCTGTGGGTAGCCTAGCTGCATCAAGGGATAATAAATTTCTTTCACTTTAGTACAAAACTATGGATGGTGAATGCTTTAAACTGTTTCACTTGTGCATGACTGGAATTTAGTTAAACTGCAATGAAAAAGTCCCTGACTGTCAATTAAATTTATTGCTTCTGAGACTCATCTTTCAGAATGGTAGACTTTTTCACAAACGCACAAACCCCAAATTCAGTTGAACTAGTGCGCATTGGTGAATAGCTTCGAGTGGTGATTCCCGAACTTCCAGTGAGAAATCATGATCGGCGGGGCAAGCCTGGTGGAGATCAGGACAAATATGATGACGATGACATTAGGTGGTGGTCGAGATATCTCGTGAACTAAGTAGGAAATGTAGACCACTGAATCCCGACACAGTGGCTCAAGGGTAACGTTGTGGCCACGGGACCTTAAGGTCCTGGGATCGATCCCTGGTGTGGTGGGGTCATTGGTGCATAGTGGCTAGGAGTCCCATACTAGAACAAAACAGCTGTTCAGTGCTCTCAGATTTCCAATGTTCCTCCACTTGATGTCAGTCTATGATAAAAACCAACTTAAAATATCTGCAGTCTGTTAACTGTCGCTAAAGTTTTCATTTTTTAAGAATAAGGACAGTAGGTCAGTGATCCATATGAGTCCTTACTGGTGGCAATACTGTGGAGATTCGATCTAACTTTGAAAGCAGTAATATGGGATGAATACGCTGTGCACTCTGGTAAACAGTTTCATAGGTTCACAGCTATGTAATAAAAAAATATTCCTAGATTAAGGTGATGCAACCATGGTTAGTGCACTCTTAGATGATGTTCTCTGAGATGTACGCTTCTAGAGGGGGAGGACAGTGATAAATATATTGGATTGTAAAACCATTATCCAAAGTAACTATAGAGCATATTTCATTTTATGAAATCCATCAAATTCCTTGCTAATAGTTTGTGCTGACACTGGACACAGTTACTACAATTCTATCAGTCATCCTTTCATAAACTACTGCATCTTCCAATCCCTTCTCAAAAGCAGCTATGCTTGTGTGCTTATTTACTGACCTACTGTTTGTCTGGATCATTTAGCTATTTACATTTTACATGTTGTATGAATACAGCATGAATATTTTTACTCTTCTTGTGGATAAGATCTTATGAGTTTCAGTGAATACTGAGTTAAAATACTATTTCATTATCTTATTCCAAAGATGGCACTGAACACAAGTGACCTTTTCTAATTTTTTTTGATCCTGCTGAAAACAAAAGTAGGTTTGCTCAAATTGAACATTCAGAGTCCAAACTAATTTAAGTGACATGCTTATGTCAGATAAACTGAAACAATGTGGTTTGATTTAACAGCTATTTCATGATCACCAATTTGTTATTCACTTACGTCAAGGGAATCCCTAAATCATTAAATTCTAGAAGTTATTCTGCTTACCTATATTTCCTTGGAATTCTCAGAAAGACAGTGTCTATGATACATTGTACTACCTCTTACTTGAAATCTTTCCTGTTCATCAAAAACGTGACTGGACTTCCACATTTAAACTGTCAGTTTGTTCGAACTGTTGAAATTATTACTTTTTTAGACTGAGATTTATAGGTAGTAAATTACATGGTATATTTTAGGGTTAAGTGGAGCTTGATAATTATTAAACCATTTGATCAAATCATGGCAAAAGCTCTTATAAACTGTTGTGATATTGTTTACCATTTCAATGTGGTGTTTGTCTTCTGTATACCGACAGTTTTTAAATACTACCTCACATCTACCTTGAAATTCGTCAGTTACAGTAGTCCAAGATGGCTGTATAACTTGGCTTTAATTTTACCCTGGAGCTTTATAAAAATACCATCAGGGGTTTTAAACTAGTTGAGAGTGTTAGTTCCTTGTGAATGACCAAACATCTTGACCAACATAACAGCTAGATGTGAGAATATGATGTATATTTCATTAGTACTCAATGTCCGGTAATATAATGAGAAGTGAAGAGATTTTATTTTTATATTATCCATGACCTCCTCAAACCTACACTTCTTCAACTAGATGTTGAAAGTAAAATGCAAATACAGTTACAGTTTATTAACTTATTGGGATATTTCAGAGACTGAAAAGAAAGGTGAGTAAAATGAACCTGTTGTCTCACATGTACATCTTTATTAAGTTTTTTGGATAACCAATTTGTCGCAATATTTTCTGCAGTTTATCCATTTGTCCCTCCAAACAGTCATTGAAACTGGTACTTTACATTCTGTAGAGAAGATATGAGACTGAATTTCTTTCCTAATGAATTAATTTTAATCTATAGAGGTGAATAAATTGACCGGTTTATGTGCTTTTTCTTGTTATTATACCTATCCATCTCCATGGTGAGGAAGACATCTACGGATGACATACCATACCTTTGTTCTTCCTCAACGGTGGACTTCATAGTAAGAAGGACATTGTTGAAAATATTCAAAAGCTTTTGATAGTTGTATTCTTTGTCACAAACAATGAAGGTATCATCTAAATATTGACAATAGTAATCCAACTCATTGTGTCTCTAAGTTGGCCGTTTTCAAGTTTCTCCAGGAAGATATCAGCCAGTGTAAGGCAAAGAGGTGAGCCCATCGCAGCCTTATCCACTTTTCTATATAATCCACTGTTGAGCGTGGTATGATTATTTATCGTAAATTTTAACCATAATTCCTTGACTTTCTAAAGCACGGTTCATGTGTCCATTTCTCTTCCTGTTAGCTGATTGTTTTGACAAGTAGGAAATTAGCATATGTATGAATAGTGACATCATCTTCATTTCTTAAACAAATATTTGATAAAATTGACAACATTTTCTGCACTGAATCTCAACTGTTTATGATGTTGTAGCTGTAGCGCTTCAAGTAACCGCTACGTTATTGAATGATATGGGAAGTTTGACATGTCTGGAATCACGAATAAGAGGGTGCAAGGCTTATGAATTTTCGGTAAACTGTACAGTCTGAGCATACATGTATCTGGTAGTTTTAATGCATAAGATTTTGACTAGGGAATAGATTCTCATCAACCAGTTTGTCTTGGGTCTTAGTCAGTTGTTACTCCGTCACTAGTCTTGTATCTGCAGAGAATACTTTTCTGAAGTTCTATTCAGTCACTAGGAAGAAGGTTCATCTCGTTGATATAATTAAAAATATTAGTAATAACAAGTTAAAATCCTTTATCAGGTTTAGTTCGCTCAAATCATTATACCTTTTAAACTTTTGGATGACTCCTCACTATTTTTAAGCGAGTAAGCTTCCGAAATAATGATGAATACCAACTTGAAATTTCGAAAGAATGTTTGACCTCAAACAGTTATTGACAATCAGTCAAAGTACTTTTAAACTTTTTTAACTCAATCAAAAGATGAAATTAAATCTTGCAACTAACAAAAAAGGCTTCCGTACTGAAATTCGGTCTATGAACGATTCACTTAATGACGTCTGTGATAAAATTTAAGACCAAGAGAGAAAACTTCTAATATATTATATGACTTCATTAAATTCAAATCTACTTGGAAAATAAGGTTTTTCAGAAATCTAATCAGTTAGAAAATCGCAGGGTTACCACATATATTTTTGATACTTTCATTAAATTATGGTCTTTCTTTTTCTACTTGAAGATAGGCAGTTAAAAAGTGAGCTGCGGTCACTTGCATATCTTTTCATTATTTTGGGGTTTCGTTACCACTTGCATTATTTACTTTTCAGAAGCGATAAACTGCAATTCATTTACTAGACGATGGCAAGCAGTGCAACCCAGGAGACTTGTCCTATTTGCCTGGATTCCTGTCAGTGGTGGTGTAGCCACTGAGACTCGGACCCGACATCCATCGTTTCAAACTCCACAGCGTTATCCACAGGGTGACTGAGTGACAACAGCCACACTTTGTTCAACGGATATTATTTGTGGCTCTCAGGCTTCACTTGTGTGTTGGGCAACACTCTAGCGTCTCAGTAAGGACACTCATTCACTGGGATGCAGGTACATTTGGCTAATGAGTCCTAAAAGAGACAAAACGTTCATTCTGGATTCCATTAATAGTTACAATCAGGGAAATAACATCAATAGGAAACTTGAAGCAGTACTGAGGTATCTTTTAGACCAGCTTATTCACCAACAGAAGGCAACCTATTCGGTTCAGTATATGATCAACAGGGATTTATCAGCACCAAGAAACAAAATAATGTACAGCATTCATAGATAGCGATTTCAGTGGGGAAGATTTGTAGATCAGGATGAGGATAAAAGTGGTTTGACTTTTTCAGTCATGAGTAATAGCAGAATCAAAATGGATGCATTTGGTGGAAACTTATCAGCTGCCTTTCAATCCAGAAATATAATGGTTATGATCTAAAGCACATTTTACAACGTACTTTGGGGAATCGAAAAGGATCTGTTCATTGAGATGGAAGGTAACAAAGATTTAAGTTGATCAAAACTAAGGAAATTTGATGTTGTTGATAGTACTCAGTCGTTAACTATTTACACAGTAATAAAATGAGCACTCTAGCGAATATAGCAGAAATATGAGGGGACCGTAAACAAATTTGTTCTAGAATTGGTAATATATAACGTCATGATTAAGTAAGCGCAATAAAGGGTTAACAGTTTTTCATTATCTTTATTGAAATGAAAAAAAACTCAGAAAGTGACTGTCGGAAATTCAGACGAAAACTCTTCTTTCTGTTCTTCAAATGTACACGCTTTGGTACGTACAAGTAAATTGGTAAATGCAGCTGGAAGTAACAAGAGTTGGGAACTCGTCCACTTTAGGTTTTCTCAAGGAGGAGTTAATCTGGTACACGTAGACTATCTTTACGGCTGAATAGGTTTTGTTTCAGTGCATCACTAAGTAAGTGGTTCATCCTTGTGGTGATTTCATACTCTCAGAAAGTAAGATGTAGAAGGATGAGCCCCTTCTCAACTTTACTGCACTCATCTCTTTTCGTTTCATATTTATCTAATCTTATAGTGGGAACTACTGATAAGAATGGATATAAGTAGTATGTGTTGAGGGGTCGGCAGGAGTGATGGTAATCACCAGCGATGAGTAAATATTCTGCGTAGAGAAACTCAAGAGACATAGTGGGTGTATGAAGAGTAAATCGAAATAGAAGAAGAGAAAATGAAGCACATTGTGCAGATGATTATTTTTATGGAAAGTGTACAATATTTCATTATTCCTCTACAAAATGTCATAATAAGCATTCATTCTTGCGTCTCATTCTTGTGGTTTCCTACAATCTCTTTACACAATCCTTTAAGAACAAATTTCATCCTTGGGATTACCGTAAAATATCAGTTTATCTTTGTCTCATTGCCTAAAACAAAGACAATAGTTTGTTATCTAGTCTAGTGAATATTGCGAAAATAAGTAAATAAAAATAATAATCTTACATAATAGCTTGTACTAGTAGTGCAGTTCCAATGTTTACTGTATGCTTCAAATATAGACAAGTAACATGAACTACTCTGTGATTCTATGAAGACTAAATCCATTATGAACGGAGTGGGGCTGAACAACATCATCATCGTTTGAATGGAGTATACGAGTCTAACATGCACAAATTTTAGACAAACTTGCGCGGTAACACTTCAAAAACATTTTGTAAAGTTATATTTTCATTCCATATTGGCTTTCAATGCCCCTAGTTCAGTAAGTAAAAGTGTATATTGCATAAACTGTACTTAAACTTAAAATAAAGATATTATTTCCGCTCTAAATTTCAAAAATGACTAGTTATGTTTGCAAGACGTGAGTCAATCCTTAACCTACTAAATTACTTGCAACATAATTTTCTTTGATCAGAATTTACACAATGAAGAATTATAAACTTTGTGGTTTAGTTGTATGTCATATACACTGACGTTACCAGTTGACATTGAAAGAGATGAAATGTTGTCAGGGATTATGAATGAGTGTGCGTTAGTCTGATAGTCATTTTCCCCTGTCTCAGTAGAAAAATCCAAGTCACAGAATGATAGAAAATGCCAACTATCTACTCAAGAAGCTCAAAGACTGTACTTGGATGTAAAAGTGAAGCAAACCAAGAGCGATCAACAATGTACGAACCAAAAGGCGAAGAAAATGTAGTAGCCAAAAATAATCACAAGGAGATCAAATACTTAAGAATATGATATCAGTGGATATGTTTCCAAACAGTAATCAAAAAGTTGACTGCTTTGGCAGCTGTCAGTTACGTATGTTGGACTTTACAACTGAATTCATAATAACCTTCGTTTCAATGTAACTACTCATTCTCACTCATTTGACAGTTAAATCAGTCCATTTTTCTTGCCTTGTGATAATTGATTTACTTTGATCAGATAATAAAGTATTGCGTTATGGTTATGGTGAAAACCTATGGGTAACACAGATATTATAACCTGGAAAAGAAAACTGTGGAATCCTGCTGAGTGATGATGGTGAGGATTGCCTTTACACTTGATGAATCTGTTCAGAACTTATGGTAGAGAAAACATGTTGATTAATTCATCTTAGATAACTATGCTGTTTTACAATTGAAGAAGAAAGGTTGATAACATAAATTTGTATATTATTGTCATTTTAACACAAAATATAACCACTGAGGAAAATTTCAAGTATTTTCGTAAAAAAAGGGTTGGAATTTTACAGTTCATATAGACTGTGTTCTCACAATTTATGTACAATAGGTCTCAGAATGCGTGATTGATAACCATATTGATTTTCAGAACCGATAAAAAAAACAGTGTATCGATTTATTAACCGTCGAAGAAATAAGTCAACAATTATTATTTTAATAGTAAGAAAATCGGTATCTGTAATGGAGGTTAACTCAGAGGAAGTAGTCTCTGGATAGTGATCAGTAGCCTAATGTTATCCCCACTACAAACCTTAGTCTACAAGTTAAGTTTAGTAAGTCTCCCACTGAGAAAAGTTACTTGGTAGCAGAATGAAGTTAGTTTAGTACTCAAAAGTAAGAAACATTCGGAAGGAAATACTACATTGAGGTTACAGAGTGACATTAAGTCATTACACCCCTAGTGATTTGAGCAACACCTCTGATTTAATCAATAAACTGTGAAGGCTTTGACCTTTAAAACATCATGAGCCTTTGTGAGGTTCAGGCATTTAGCGCTGACATGCATGACATATAAATTTAAGAGACATTCATCATTCCAACTGTTTTCTGAAAAGTCAGGACAGACCCAGCATAACAAAAAATTACTAGACATTTTCTAATTTCGATTAAATTTTTTTTATAAAAGCAGTTTAATAGTTGAATTATATATGAGGTGATTTGATGTACTTTCGAGAAGAAATTTTCTAAAACGGAACTTCTCGGAACTAGCCTTTGTTTTTTACTGAATCGATGGAACTGTAGTGAATATGGAAGGTTCTTATGAAGTTGGAAAATTTTTTTCAAAAATGTTATCCATAAAATTTCTTCATCCTAGGTAATCTTTCTTATTCTTTTATAAAAGTGTTCATCAGCATTTATATTTTTCATTAAAATGTTTCAGCAAACATACTAACACTAGACGAAAACAACCAGTTGACAATGTGAACATTGAAAACAAATTTTGAGAAAAATAATATTCTGTTTCTATCCTTATAGGCTATCAGACATAATATGGCTGAAATCAGTATTGAAGTACTCAAATATTTGCTAGTAGTTTTAGTGGTAGCAAAAACTTACATAGTTGAATCATGGCTGCGAATAACTCAGACTAGTAGGATATTCTCTTCAATGCAATTAAATAAGTGTACAATATTACGGTGTATCATAAGTTAGAAATATTTTAAGTGACTACTTGTGGTCAAAATAAAACACATTCATGCTTTTTAAAAGTGTAGTTCAGGGAAGCGGTAATCCTGAAGGTAAGTTAATTTATTGTAGTTGTTAATCCCATTTCATATTCTTATAAATTCTTCACAAAAGTGGTTTTTGTTCAGATGTCATTTTGCGAAAAAGAATGATCTAAGTATATGCAGACAGAATCGTGATATCCTACCCGGAGGTTTGTGGAGATTTATTATTTGATTTCAGGTTAGAATTCATCATGTACTGACATCAGTTAGAAGAAAATTGGAAGTCTGGAAGCACTGAACAGCTGTTTCGTTCTAGTATGGGACTTCTCAACAGTGCGCACCAATGACCCCCCCCCTCCAATAGGGATTGAATCCATGATCTTCAGGTTCTGTAGTCAGCAAGTTACCTTTGAGCCACTGTGTCGGAATGCAGTGGTCCATATTTCCTACTTCTGTCAGTTCATTATATAGAGCAACCTACATCCAATGTCATCGCTGAATAACTGTCTTCATGTTCGACTTGGTTGATTTTACCGGTCACGACTTTTCATTAGAACTTCGGGAATCACCTCTCGAAGGTAGTCACTAATTAGGGCTCAGTTAATTCTGTCTGGAGGTTTGCGGGGGCTTATCAATTGATTTTAGTTTGGAATTCATCATGAGCTGACAGAAGTAGGAAATGTGAACGATTGGACTCCTACCCAGTGGCTCAATGGTAATGGGTGCGTTGTGCTGAGTCCCATACTAGGACGAAACAGCTGTCCAGAGCCCCCAGGTTTCCAATGTTCCTCCAACTGATGTTAGTTCATGGTGAATTCCAACCTAGTATCGAGGTATGTTGGAGAGAATTTCTAGACATACTTCAAGTGAATCCACATCATAACAAATGGTTAACCAATTAGGTCTAATAAGTGTACCAGTCAGAAAAATTCGTTTTCCGATAAGAACTAGAGTACGTTGAAGAAAGGGTAGCTATCGTAGGATACTACCTGAGTGAATAATGCCGAATAATTTGAAACGCTAGTTTTTTAGAGTGACTTTAAACGTGCTGTTCACAATGTGATTGAATTGAAAAGCCTCACAAAATTGTATTTCAACTCCAATCTCGTTGAATATCTGCCAACAACCACAAATTTCTCACATAACCCCAAGCGATATTATACAACTACAGTTGCGTGAATGTCTACTTAATCATATCTGTGAAGAATGAGTTTTTTTTAAACTCTTTTTGAGGCTTATGCACTCAAAAATCCAACTGCTTATCAGATTCTCACTTTTTGATGTGAATTATGAGATTTCCAAACCAAAGTGAATAAGTCATAAATTGTGATCTAGATAAACAATTTGACAGAATAGATCCGCCATATTTCTAGGGTTCTTATCAGTTAGTTGCCTACAACCAAAATAAATTAGGTATCAAACTATGCATCAATGTCTACATACTTTAATCAGTCTGATAGAAAATTATCGGCTTGAAGACAAAATAGCGTTGATGATGAGCAATCAAAGTCATAAGAATTGACTGATTGGAGTTACAATAACTGACAGTAAAAACAATAAGGTGAAAGTTGTAAAACAGATCAAACACTATAGATTACTAGACTGATAACGTCAAGCCAATAATCTGCAAAAATAATTAAGGTGTGTAGAGATTTCTGTATATTTGGTTCGGTTGTAGGCTAATTAACTTATAGGGGCCCTCAAAATATGATGCAGCCATGCTGCTCTGCTAAAGGTTTTATTCTTACTGGATCTAAATTTCAGGAAATATTCAAAAGGATATTGCAGAAAATGAGATCAGCGAAGATATCTTTTTTGGTGATTTAGTTCTTTATGGTTTTACAGTAGGAATTCATGCATTCTTGTTTAATTATACTGAACACAGTTAAAGGAAATTGTATAAATTGCGATTGTACAGCTATGGAGAATTAAATCGCTGCAAAGGACATTTTCGCTAAATTTCTCTTTTTCTCTATTTAAATTTATCTAGAAAGAAATTGTATGGACTAAAAGTCCTGATCTGCACGAGGCGAAGAGTGATTTCAAGAGAGTATGCTTAACAACTGATATTTTATCCTACTCACTAATATGAGTAGACTGAAGCCATCAATACCAATCACTTGATTTCAATGCACGGATCTAGTTAAGACTCATAACAAAGTGCTATATTTTGCCATTTCAATGCCTACTTGAAGCACTTTTGTAAATAAATAAGTCTTCACAAACCTACAAATTAAATGAATATTTAAGTGACAAAGTTGAAAATACTTGAGTTGTATCTTAGAAGAACCAGTTTTCATTTGTCTCTTTACATTTGAAAAATTACAATTTCTATAAGAAAACTGTCATATGAAGTATTTCATTTGATAGTGCTCACTCAAACACAGCTACTCTCATTCACACATATTCAAGTCTTCTAGGGTCATCTACAAACTGAATGGTTCAATGCTAACGTCTATGAATTTGACACTAATCGGTGTGGATTGATGTCATACATAAACACACAAATGCGTACGTAAGATTTTTATCAATGCCACAGATATATGCTTCGGGAAAATTCAAATAAACAAACAAACAAGGATAATCGGTGAATAACATTTACCAATCACAGTGAAAAGCAGTCAGTCACTCTCATTTGGCACAACATTCCTGTTAAATAATAACCACTAAAATGATAAGACCGTATAAGTGCTGGAAACGGTTACTTCTCTTTATCACCAGGTAAGCGAAGGATATTGAAGTCTCATGCTACATAGATTATATTTTGACTGTTGAATCACTGGTTGATAATATGAAAATTTGATTGAATTTCTATAGAGTTTCGTATCTTTAAATAGGTTCCATCAGGCTGTCTTCTTTCACTCTATTCAGTCTATGGAGAAAATAAATAAACTAAATAGTGAATTTGAACAGGCTGAAATCCAAATATGTTTTCCAAAAGTTTGATTCTGAGCAACTTTGAACTGTCATTTTTATTTTGCATGATAAAAGTATGCACCAGCAAAATGTTATGATAATGTAACCCATAAGGAATAGAAAAATAACACTGGTTTATCTGTTTACTCCTTTGCTCAAATTTGTTGCTGCATACCTAGCAGTCGTTCAATTTCCTTGTCGATTTCAGGTGAATTTAAGCCAGATCCGAATGGGTAAACATTACTGAATATTTTGTGATATGTTCTATGTTTATTTAACAATTAACTTCCATCTGTATAAAATTCTCTTCACAAACTCAGGTAAATAATCCCTGAGTTTCACGAAAACATTCTTTTTTAATAGTAAACTACATTTTATCAGATCACAATCTTTCCTGCACGGCTATATCTAGGCTACGATTGCTTTTTGCGTTTTTAAAAAAGTGAAGAAAGTTGAACTGCACATAGTAGACTGTTTTTCTCCACCTTACTTTTCCAACTAAGTTAATTTAAACCATCCGACTTAATCTATAAGTTTACATTAACGAATATATCTCATTTGTCATTAGAAGAATGAGGGAATGACACAAAAACCAGTCGTAATAAACCTATTCAGGTATTTCAAGTATACTTTTTGTGACAATACTGTCGCGTCAAACGAATACGAAACAGAAATTAGAAGATGAATATTTGCTTACAAACCTAATACTTATACAATCATTGTAACCATCTTTACACCACATATGAATAGGTATCAGAACACAGATCAGAGCCACTGGTTAAGTGACTAGGTACAGGTTATATATGTATAGATTTCAAGAAAAACGCTCGGAATAGATTTCTGAACGAATTATTGAAACTAATTTTTTGCAAGTACGACGAGATCCATGTAAACAGAACCCACATCTAATGAATGAATTCTTTTTATATTTCAATAAACTGCTGTTCACATTTAAAAATCACAAATGAGGTCATTATTAGCTAGTTAAACAAGGTTAAGATAAAGTGCACTAGACAGTCAATCCTCACTTTCCATACCAGTCAATAACGTGAAATAACAAGTCCTCACATTCAAATACACCCATCGCGCAAGAAGTTAGTCCCGTGATATAGTAGCCTACTGGACGACGTTCTGACTCTAAGAAAAAACGAATCCTTTAACCGGGTCTCAGTGGAAACAGCATAACGCAGTGGAATGCAAGCACATCCAGCTAACGAGTCCTAAATAAGACAAAATGTCCATCCTAGAAATCTCTGTTAGCCTTTATCCTTCTACGAGGTCAAACTGTTATAAAATTCAATGAAGTAAAATTCAGAAGATGCACTATGAAGCTATAAAAGTATTGGTTCGGTTGATCAAAATCAGGCTACATCAATTTTTAATGAAAACTTGAAATGGAGTTGGTAGTTTTGGAACAGATCCAATATGAGATAATTAAATCGCATCTGTTCTAATGAACAACAGAAGTTTGAATCCATAAGTCGTCGATGTGAATGATTAAGAGTTGGTTCCGACACAATTTCGGATACCTTTAAGTACAAGCCTACAATTTGGATCAAGGTCACATAGTCTCTTACTGTTTTGGTTACGCATATAGAATCTGCAATTTACATTTTGGCTTGCAATTATATTAGTTCTACAAAGAGATACTCACGTTCTGGTGAGATTCTTCTTCCTATATCAGGGTTAAATACTCATGATATTTAATAAAAAATTACCAGTGTCATTGAAAAGTGTGTCACTAACACTTTCTGCTTAGAATAAACCAGCTTCTTTGTCTGAAAGCTACATACAGAATAAAGTCACTACTTAACAATTAATATCAAAGTTTACCACAGAAATGTTAGTACAAAACCAACAGGGAATAAATAGAATTTAACAGTTATTTGGTTTCGTTTTAGCGACTCAAGGAGTGTAGATCCTTAGAATTCACTTGACTCTAAATGTTATTACTCTGAGTCAGTAACTTCAAATTATTTCTGTTTTAACTAGAATATCTGAGCCTAAGGCTTTAAATGTTTCTAGTGAGACAATTTGAAAATGTTTACATTTATTGACGTTTAATTTGATACTGTTTACTTTAGTCATAAGGGAGAATAACAAATATTTGTTAAGACAAGCAAATACTATTTTTAATTTTTAGTACAATGCTAAGTAAATTATGGTATGTTTAATCATATTAATAACACTTATTTGTAAGCATACGTGATAAGTGATTTAAAGTCTCCAAAAGTAATGCCTCATAAAGCAGGTCACTACTTCAATTTAGTGTGTAACTCTAGTTTCGCCTTACTTTTATCTACAGTTACTGTAGACTGCTCAAACCTTTTCCACAGCTGGAGTATATTTATCAACATTTGAATAATTTGCCTTCCAATTGACGTATGATTTAATACAACCGATTTTGAATTGCACTTAGAGTTGTTAGAGTTTTCTCATTTATTCACTATTTTACCATAGGTCCTAACCTAATCAAGTATCAGGTTAAACTTAAAAATTACGAAAGTCTTTGTCAAGAAATGTTACCATTTGCTTGTGAAGTAATTATCTGTGTTATAAGTGATAGCTAAAAGAAATAATGAAGCTGAAAGGCGATTGCTTTCATTATGTTTTCTTCTTAGGGCTGGTCAAAGTCTTGGCATAAGTACACTTTTCATAAATTCTATAAGCACAAAATGCAGATCAGATTTTTCGATTCCATTCACCTAACAGTTAAAATCTGTTATAACCAAGTTTTAAGTCAAAGACAACAGTTTGGATTCAATGAATACATCTTTTAGATACGTGCACACTGTATAAAATACCCGTCAATAATGACGAGTAGTTACGGTGACGTCTTACCATTTCATTTGTAATTAAACCCTATTAGTTAGGATGACGGTTACTTCATATTAAAATATCACCGATACCCATCTTCACTATGATGGGGTAAGTTATTTTCGAAAATTAGAAATTCACTGGATTTATCCTCTACTAATTATGCTTGCGAGAATTATGAGCAAGATAACTACATTCCAGCTAGCTATTTGTTAAGCACTTGACAAATTATTCTCCAGACTGGGTTTTGTAGTTGTTTCCAAATGTAATTACATCTGCCGTTAAATGCTCATGTTGTAAACACCGATCTAGTGACAACTGTTTGCTTAACTTAGAACAGTCACTAGAGTATTTTTCTGAAGACTTAGTGTTTAGGGACTCAACATTACCCATTATTGTATATTCACTAGGTTTCTATTTTAGATTTTTTTATGATAAAAAGAAATTAGGCGAAACCATTACCGTTTTCAAGTAAAAACTTTAAAACGTCGGCATAAGAAAAGCATATCACCTGTTTCCTTCATGATGTCTAAATGTTTACCCTAAGAAATCATCTCACGTCTTCATTTTTCTATAATCTGTGAACTGATTAAGGTATTAGTGTGCCGGTACATACTTTTTCTCCTAGTTCACTTTTCAAACATTCTATTTGTTTCAAACTTTTTGGTTGAAAATAGAAGACTGTGATACTTGATTTCCTATGTCCTACTAGTTTAGGCTTTCAAAATTTACGATATTTTTGACCGCTTTTCTCATGTTCAAGTCAAAGAACTACCTTTAGAGCGTAGATTAATTGTATCAGTTCAAAGGAAACATTTTCAAATCCTTTGCTCTTTGTTATAATTTTTGATTACAGGATACATTTTTATGGTTTCATAATAGAGGCACTTTATGACGACATATAGTCTATATGCTAATCTTCTATCAGTAATAACAAATAAACCTCAGAATTTTATGAAACCTGCAGTTTGTTGAAATGATCACAGGTTAATACAGGACTTTGGTATCTTAATTTCATCATTTATATCACTTAACTCTTGTCATGATGATTTATTCACTAAAAATGCTATTTGTTCAACATGCATATATTTACAGGCAGCTGGCTAATCACTGTTTCCTAACTTTCGGTAATGTGGCTAAATTACTGCAAAACGACCATGCACTGAAGTAACTCTAAAGTTCATCAATGATTTATGCTGATAAAACATTAAGTTTCACACATTTTATCTTGTTTATTTGAACTGAAAGTAATTTGTAGCTTAGTGTCTATACAGAAATAATATTGAAACATCGACCAGGAATGTGAAGACAAATGTTTTTATAGTAGTGATTGTTTTGGTGTGAATTAACGTTAAAACTACATTATTATACTCAAATATCGGTTAATTAATTAAAAATAATTTTCCGGTCCTCCAGAATGTGGCCAAACGATGACAAGCGTACAGTCCCATTGGTAAAGAATAGTAGAAACAAACACTGTGTATTAACTTCAAACTTTTCTTAATAATAGAATGACAGAATATATTCTGTTACAGATATCTCATTAAAGGATTGAACAGCTTATTCCACAAATGAAACATCCAGACCAATCAGATTATTGATGAATGCAGATTATATAAGTGGATGGTTATCAAAAATGTAGTTTTCAATCCATATATCCTTATAACACTTAATTTAATCTTATCATCCACTTATATGTGATTTATATTTTGGAAATAACTGCATGTTCAGTGAAACCCATTATTGTGCATTACCTCAATCATTGGGCTTGAGATTGGTTAATAATAATAATAATAATAATAATAATAATAATAATAATAATAATAATAATAATCACTCTATTCCAAACAACATGTATGATACAGTATGGAATTTTCAACATGGAATATTTCAATAAATCGGCTTTCCGTAGAATATTTTTAAGAGAAATAATTATCACATCTGCATAGTGTTAATAATAACAATACTGAAGGCATAAGTGTGAAACAGGCAGCTAGTGTTACATTAGCATTAAATTAATCTTAACGTAAACACAGATATACAGACATACATGAACTCATTGTGTGTGTGGTAAAATTGGTACTGTTATCATGACTAATAAACGCCAACAATACTTATGGAAACAACGAAATAACCAGAAGAAGAGAAGGACAGAATACACAATGTTTTTTAGGTCATGTCATTAGTGAATACAAAAAATGAAATCGGTTTCAAAGGAAGTTTGATATTAGTAAGCAAGAAATGTTTGAATAAATTCATATGCGTTAGACAACAAAACTACAAACGTGGAACAGTTGGTATCGACAAGGGAATTAGAAATACTGCTTGGTTATTCAAGTTACCTCATCTAAAATTGTCACTCAACTTCTCCAGAAGATTCTGCATCCTAACAGTGTTTTTAATTAGTGCGCAATGAAGTCTGTAAAGTCTGGGTCTAATAATAATTTTCCTGCAAAAGACCCTTCCCGATTAAACCAAACGAGAAAGGAAACCAAGAAAAACGTTTATCACCAAATCCAATAAAAATGGCGAGTATCTATCTTCGACTGACTACTAGATATACACAACTCGCCTGAAACTTCATCAGAGGCTGAAACACACCTATGGGTTTTTTTAAATACAAAGCATCTATTTGGATATCCAAGCTTCTAAGTAACACTCAGTAAAGGACATTTGTATAAGACCTATTGATAGATACAGTTGGTTGCTACCGCAGTGTAATAAAATAAAACCAGGGTTAGAACCCGTTAAATGTGTGTGGGTTTCCGAAGCTGACAGAAGACTAGCAGCTGATTGATTTACCCGTATTCAGGTTTGGAACTCATCTTTTTTTCCGGTTTGGCTTTCTCAAGCTTCACTTAGGCATCCTTAGATCAATGGACTTCAACTCATAAAAGACTTCTCTCCTTTAAAAATGATGTAACTACCTATTCCGTCTCCATCCATCACCACTCAAGGTTATTTCGTAGACGCCTTAGTATGCATGTGATTTCCTCCCACTACTTGAAATAACTCCTTTGCACTCCTCCATTATTTCGGAAGAAACTGCTGAGATCCACTGGTTCGTGCTAGCCCTTACCCTAGGGTCACTTATGATCTTTAGTGTTTTTTTAGCAGAAGGCGGAAAATGGTTTAAAACATCTACTGGATGGGTTATAATGTCTTGTTCCGTTAAATATCTAGCCAGTTTCCCACTGAAACCATTCTTAGTAATCTCATTACTGAGCTACACCTGAAATGATGTTTAGGTTGTAGTATTTATATGCTCATTTGAACCCAGGTATATACGTGCTCAAACGGGAGCATGATCATCTTCCAAGCACGTGCTCCGGTCGACACATCCCAATGACAATTGATATACATATGGTCACTGCTTTCCATCTTTGAGTTGAGAACAGTGGACGCCATATCAAAAAATGTTGGGGGACTTTAAAGTGCATTCTAGGAACGATCGAAAGAGTCGTTAGGTTTCTTCATTTGGGCGAGAAAGGCAGATTTTCATAAAATAGACGAGTGTAACTGGTTATTTCAGTTGTTTTCGGGGTGGTCGTTAAAGTCATTTCAGAATGTCAACCTCTTTGTTTAAAACACGCTGTGGTCAAAAATAGATAGTTGTCTGAACATGGTTGTAGCAGACTGAAATCATAAATGTTCATTTAGATGAAGTTCTAAATGTGGCACATAATCGCTTTTATTTTGTCCAGGCTTCTCCGCACTGGCATTAAACCACCGTCTACAACATCCAGGTCTAGCAGTTTGGACCGCAGTATGAAGCTTAAAGGTTTTTCCATTGAACTCGTGTTTTGCTTTATTCGAAATACAGTCGATGGATATGTCAGCGGAGAATACTAAGAGACATCGATGAATCTGTCGATTCTTTTAAGTTCTTACTGCACTATTCAGTTGGAAACTGGATAGAAGATCATCATCTAGAAGTCCCTCGGAAGGTGCATATCTTCTTTAAGGATTCAGTACTAAACATAAACCTGCAGTACAGAGACAGGTAACCAGGAAGTCTTTAGAAAATGGAACGGTGGACTTCTTGGGTTTAGCGCACTAAATGCTTGAAATCAAATGCATAATCGCAATTACGTTTTGTATGTGCTCATCCGAAACACGGTACATGTCCATGTCCAAAGATACCACAGTTTTCACTAGTGAAACCTTAATTCTGGCTTTAAGAAGGATGGGCAATGAAAACTTCGACTTACAACTAGGAGTGCAGCCTTATGAGACAAAGGAGGCTATTCTATGAAACGGAACAGTTATCACGGTTGAGATAAGTTAACTACTCTATGGGATTACTTGTAGAGATGCTTAGAAAGACCCAAAGGCAAAGACGTGTTAAGTTGATAACGGTCACATGAAACTTGGGTGCTGAGAGACATGTCAGGGAGTTAAAGCTTTCAATTGCCCAAACCACGAGACACCACTTTTTTTCAAGGTCCCTGAAGACTCGTTGAGATAAGGAACGCAGTTTTGGTCGGTCACTTCCATATGCCAATATCCTGAAACTTCCATCTTTTCCCTGGAGAGAAGTGTGAAAGCTTATTCTGTGCTCTACAAGGTGGCATAATGACATCCGCATTTGTAAAAACGAGGTTTGTAATCATCTTCAGGGTTCCCATTGACTCCAGTCGAGTTGAGGCATTAAAGCAGACCACGGGGTCCCAGTGATATAAGGACATTAACCAGTTATTCCCTTGAAAACCGCTGCAAGTTGTGCTGGCATACATCATACAGAACGGAGGAGTGACGAGGAACAGAACTGTCAGGTGGGATGATCTTGAAGCTTTTGGTTTCGATGACTGACCTTGACCGCGGATGATCACTCAGTGGTTTTATTGTTGTTTGGACCGTTATTGCTCCAATGAGCTGAATTTAGGGCAAAGTGGTTTCAGTTATTGACCTACTGAATGCTTTAAGTTGAGGAGATTAAGATTTTATTGATCATCGGTCTCTCACTTTGGACCGTATTACAGTTTCTGTCTCAGAAAACGGAAAACCATTTGTGGAGGATAAAAAGTTCTTGCTACCAAGCTCTGGCGCAAAGGATCTGGTTAGCTCACCATATTTCTAGCAACGCTCTTGAGCTGCATGGAAGAAATTGAGTCGAAACCACCAATCATGAAGCAGGAAAACAGACATCAACTGGGGACAGCTCCGTCAGCAACAACATGAAATACAATTCTTCCTGAAACAATGTGATTGTTAGCAACAAAAATTATATATATATATATATGTCTGTCAACTGCTACACGCCATTTCGCGGCTTTCGTTTCCAATCGCTACTTTTTTATCCTAAAGTTTACGCCACCGTTTTTGTAAAATTGCAGTTTAAGCTCAATGCAAGTCAAGTATCATTCAAACAGTACCAACGGAAGTGCTTTTATCGTGTGTAATAGTAACAATACAAAATATTAGCAGCGCCTAGGTTTGTCTGATACGATAAGATTTAAGTAAAGCTTGTACATTCGCTTAATTTCCAAGGTACTAGAAAGGGAGCATTCGGATGCCAAAACCAAGTTTCAAGGTCTTCGTAGTGACTGTTCAAGCTGTTTCCCCATCTGAGTTACGCTTTTTTCAAGGCTCGATTCAAGTAAAAGTCAAGTTGGTCATGCACGTCAAAGGAGTGACGTCTGACAGCGGTCAGAGTAACAAGAAATAGGCATCTTATTGCATGTATTGTCACTTCTCAACACTGTCAAGATACTGCTGGAGTTGATTTTCCCTATAATTTTTGACAAAAGCAGGTGACTGCCTGAGGAACAAACGGAATTGAAAGCCCTTTTTAATTGAAAAAAGCGTTAGCATATCACGTTCATCAGAAGGGGTGCTTGTGTAATGGCCTACTTTGGCTGAAGTGCGCAAAAGCGAAATCTGGAATTTACAGCTGAGCCAACATTTTTGCGGGTAAACGTGGGGAAGAAAAGTGCCAGACAAAACGCAGGACACGGGTGGAAAAGCTGGGGACCATGGAATAAAAGTGTGTGGATTTCGGTGGGTAAACAGGGGGTGGCAGAACGCGAGGCGAGGCTAAAGGAAATGTTGCCAAACCACACGTTTTGCCCTAGTTTCCCGTTATAATCTGCAGTCTGCTCCCTTGTTTCGCCGGCGTAGATGTTGACTGGCAGCGTCACTGCAGACCAAGTAATTATTCAGTCAGGTAATAGACCAAATAATTATATCTAGAAGATTGTGCTGAAGTCATCGAATATAGGGTGTGTTCATTGATGTAGGAGAAAAACTTGAAAACTGGCAAATTGTAATTCCACTTTAGTCTGTTTATTAGAAATGTCACGAAGCGAAGAAGTATCGTCTACGGGATAACGTTAACGGCACAACTTATTGTCCATATTCGTGTCATCTGGCTCAACAAATTGGGGGCGTGATCTTATAGCTCCAGTCTCCTCTCCTTTTTATGGTAAGGGTAGTAGAATTCTCCACATATTCCCATAGAACCCAGTGATTTTCCTAAGATGGTGATCATTACTCCCTTCGGATCATTCCAGCTTATTCGTATGTCGTTTGGTTTGAAAAATGCCGCTCAAACCTTATGGATCAGGTACTTCATGACCCACCTTTCGTCAGAAGACTTACTATTGGCTAACGCACCTGGAAGAGATCATCTGGAACATCTGAGGACGCTTTTCAAACAATCGCTTGGATATGGTATTACAACCAATCCCAAGAAGTGCGAATTTGGTAAAGAATCCCTGGTTTTTGGGTCACATTGGTAATGTTGACGGTGTTAAACCGGTTCCGTGA